GGGACACCGATGCACTTAAAACACACTCTGGTTTGTCACTGTGGACTATTCTATTACTAAATCACCATTGCATGTAAATTAGGGCATAGTACATGCAATGTAAATTACATAGCAAGAAAGAAATTCTGTATTGCTCTGCGTGAACAGTTAAGACAAAGATCGACTCCAGTCTGGCTTAAGTTCTAGTTCTGCAAAAACTGCACACTAGCGTTCTTTATCAATGAAAGTCAAAGAAAGCAAGAGGCTTCCTATATTTATTTTGTGTTTTCATAAGTTACTGCTATTACTTTCACTAGGGTTTCCAGATGAACTGAATACATATGAGTTAAATCAGGATGTTAATATGGAGTAGAACTGAATAAACAAGCCAAATCTGTAAGGTTTTAGGAGGCTGGAAAGATGTTGCTAAATTTAGAAACATGGGATAGAAGTGATGCAGCCCACGCCTGGCCAGCCACTGGGGAACTCGCGCTCTCTTAGAATCTATAGATCTGCTCAAGTTGATTTTCCATTTTATTATGATATGAATCATCTGGATTCAGAAAAGGATTTGGAACCAAAACCATTTTACTTGACTCTCTGGCTATCAGCAGACTGGGAGAAGGTACTCATTCAGCATCTCTCCTCTCTCCAGATGCCTCCAGACCACTCTAAACAGTTAACCAAATGACACATTTGACACTGCAGAACTCTCTGCAAAGTACTCCCAAGCACAGCAGCAGGAAAACCACACAGAAGCTGCTTGCACACTGTCTACGAAGTCCTATAAGGAACAATTTTTTCACTCTAATTATTAGCTACCTGCAGCTGGCAAAGTTGATGGCTAGAGAAGTTACGCTATGGGCAACCAGTGGCTTGGAAGTTACTTGACTGTGGTCCACAGAACAGTTGCAAAAAGGCTTCTTAAATTCACATACACATTTATTCCCATGCAGGTGCGCGTCAGTGACTGTCTGCTGACACACTCAGGAGTCGAGTTCTGAGAATACTGGCAAACATGTTCATTAATTTTATTATGAACACTTTTAAATGGAACCTTACAATGGTAAAATTGGGATTCTGTAGGATAATGTAATTTGGTCTAACTGCCAAATACATTATTTATCAATGCTCTTCGTCTGCCCCTTCCACCCTAGTCTCCCAGCAGCAACTGGGAACAAGCTGATCTGCTACTTCTCAAAATCGTTAGGTGATTACAAAAGCTGAAAATATTGCTATGTGACGTGGCCTGCGTGCTAGTAACAAGCAAATGACACAGAGCTCTTATGCGGCAAAGTATTGGAGAAGGAGGGTCAGGTATCAGGACAGACCTCACTAATACAGACAACGCACCAGAAAAGCAAGCTAACTCCAGCCTGCCAGCTCGTCGGTGCAGGAGCCCCACATGTTAACACTGACCAGTCTGTACTACAGACACGTGCTAACCAGAAAAGATTCCTTGCTTGCAACTCCATCCCGCTGCTGCACCACTCGTTTACTGCGTGAAGCAGCCTGCCTCTGACAAGCACAGTAATAAAAAGATCTTCCCCTGACAGATAACTCTATTCCTATTCCCATCTGCTGCCCTCCAAAAACAAAACACAACAACAAAACCCCCCACAAACCTGAGCGATTCCTGATTCTAAATCCCTCAGGCACAGACCCTCTCTATTGACTAGCCTGTGACTAGCTATTTCACCGTCCTACTGAAGGATACTTTCCAGTTGTGCAAAACGTGAGATACAAATACTCGCGTGGTAAGATTCAGGATCTCTATACATACTACACAGGAGGCGCAAGGCTATTTTTTCAACTTTGTCAGTATTTACAGCTGCTGTTCAACTGTGGCGCAGGCTCTCGTTCCCTCTCGCACGTGCGCACACCCTTCCTTCACGGACACATGCCTCTGAACACAGATGTGCAATGCTGCACTGTCCACACAGACAAGGTTATTTTACAGACAGCCTGCAGGGCTTCGCAAGCAGGAGACAGGGGCAAGCAGGAGACAGGGGATCCTGGAGATCTAATACAATCTCTCCTGTAGCTTGCTATGAGGTATCATCGAGACATTTAAATTCTTATGTGTGGAGATGCTAAGTCCCTGCATCTCTCAGCAACTTCAACCAAACGGCATAGCATCTCAACTAGGAGGAAATAAAAAGAAGGGAGGGGGAAGAAAACAGGCTCTGTCACTTTTTTTTTTTTTTAATAAAAGAAGCAAAAAGGAAAGAAGCTTGTCACTGAATGCATACATGTTTTCATAACTGAAATCTATAGATTTTAGTTAATATTCAACTACCTGCACCTGAGTCATTTTGCAGGCAGAAAAAAATAATCACTTTTTGTTTGTAGAGTTTGCACATTCTAATGCAGAACTACAGTATTAACTAACATGTTCATAGCGTCTCACGTTTGATGGACCTCTTACAAAACTCTTCAGTAATTGAAGGTCTCACCTCAGAAACGTTCATATTGAAAGTCCTGGCTACTACACATAAATACCTATCTAGTAACAATCATTATTAACAGCATGTATTTGTAGAATCCAGTACTAAATATTCTACAACAGACAACTGGTTCCAGCATGAATTTATCACAGCAGGACAAATGGAGCTGCAGAATCCCTCTTTCCTTTTAGCACCAGCTGGTAGAGTACATGCTCTCACATCGCCTCATACAGCTGTAGCTATACACTTCTCCCATTACACCTGGAGTATATTTACCACTGGCTTTCTCCAATTTTTCCATTTTCTAAGACTGCCCATATCTATTTCCGCAATTTCTCCAAGTAGCAAATAAACAAGAAGCAGCTTAAAAAAAAAAAAAAGCACCTTTTAGAACATAAAGTGATCAGATGACTCTTCCCACAAATAAGATGCCAATATCACTGTGTTTTATTCACAGCTGTGGTGGCGGCAGCAGCAGCAATGTTTCATCATATTTACCATATGGAAGAAAGAGCGCACTGAAAAACATGTATAACTCTGCCATCACTGAATTAAACAATATCTGAACCTACAGTTAAAACACAGAAGTGCCGGACACTGTCATGACTTGCTGACGTGTATTTGTCAGACGGCCAAGCTACTGAAACTTGAGATGCTACCATAAACCACAAAAAGGTAAGGCACAAACAACTGCCACAGCCCAAACCCTGTATTTTCAATCAATATGCTCATTTAGCTTAAGATATTTAATTATGCATGTGTTTTGCCTCAACTACCTAAGGTTGACTCTCTGCTAAAAACAACAATGAAAACCCTGAAACCCGACCTTATATTTTTCGCTTGTTTTATGTGCTTAGTTTTCCAAGAAGGAATACGTGTTACTAACTAGCTGAAGGACACTACCTGCGCTGATACACATCTACAGAAGATAGAGAAATGGGGCCATTCCAGGCACCTATGGGATTTCTTGGGACTACTACCAACACTGTTCTGCACGCACAGTAGTGTTTGACTTCTAAAAGTGAATCCCCTTGCTTTTCCAGCTCAGCAGTAACCACTCTGCAGCTGTAACTGTCTGCAAAGTTTACTGAACAGAGCCATTTTCCTCTTCCTGAAAGCTAGCTTAAAAATAAATAAATATACGTATATATATCTTTGCGTGCATTTTCCTCAACCAACTATGCTTGGGACAAAGTTTGTTCTCAAGACCTGGGTTAACTAGAGCTATTTTCAGACAGGAATTCAAAATCTTGATTTTATAGCTTACTGTATGTGATGCACAATTGCTGACAATCTGAAAAAGTCCTAAGGGTATGAAGCCAACAAAATAAATAAATAAATAGAAATAAGTGAGGTTTTGCTTTTCTCTCCTCCAGCTAGACTGCCACGACTATAATCACCAGTGAATCCAGGGCTGTTATTACAAGACACTTTGAAAACATGAAACAACGGGGAAATGCTCTGCCCACACCACGCCGCCGCTTTCCCATGCCAGAAAGCGGCCATAATA